CGCACGCAATCAGCAGCGTGAGTTAGTAAGTGGATGTTAAAACTACTGTAGCTCTTGTCATATAAACTAGGAGTCAATAAACAAAATTCTTTAACTAATTTCTCAGCTTCGTTAATTTTCTGTAATGTTACATTATCCTGGGATAGGGTTGAAATAGAAACAATTAACTTGGCGAAGTGTTTCAAGTAACAATTTGGCAAAATACCTCGCAATAATGGAATTGCGATTATCATCCAAGTTTTCCAATCACTGGCTTTCCAATACGTCACTTCCTTAATTTCTCTCATATTTCGTCTACACTCATGTGGAATTTTACATTTAGCAATTCGTTGATTAATTTCGTGCGCTTTTGTGCCAATATAAAATGGTTCAGAGTGGTTTTTTGACTCTGTCCATGCAAAAGCGAAAGTGCGAACAACTCCAAGCAAAACGGTATGCATATAGTCAAAAACAAACCCTCCTGCAATATCAAAATTTTGTAGATTAACAAGAGGAGATGCTACTTTGATTCTAAAATTAGACGCAATTTTAGACCCCTGATTAAGTTTGTCTCTTAGCTGGAGAAGATGTTTCACAAATATTTCTTTATCCCGTTTTACCGAAATTTCAGTAGGATCAAATATCCATTTATGCCTCGAGTCAGATATTTTCAAATTTTGTCCTTTAGGAAGGCACCATGGACAGCTATATTCGCCGTTGAACTGGTTAATTCCTTGAATTTGGCATCGAGCAACGGAATCCGCAGCAAACAAAGGGAAAAATATTTTACTGGTCATCATTTTGTTATTCGCCATCCAGACAATTCCTTCCGTAGATAATTGTGCTGCCTGTTTCATGAAAGGATTTAGAAATAGACTAAAATTGGGCTTTCCTTTACCTAGCCAAAGACCTCCCAAAATCGTATGTTTTCTACGGAGTGGATAGTCAAGTTCATTAATTGATAAAAGAAGTGGCCACACACTAAACCCCGAAGAGTTAAAAATTGAGACACCATCCGTATTTAAGCAGCAAGTCAGGTCATACTTTTTTAATTTTAATTTCTTGTAGTCAGCTCCGTCGACGATGTCACTTATTACGTTGCTAGCATTAGGATTGTTGGCACGCTTCACAAAGGTCTTGATAATCGAATTTGAAATTGCTTCTCTTTCTAGAAGTGATTTCAATACAGATCCAATATCGAAGGAGACAAAATAATTCCCATCCTTGATTGCCTTATGCACATTAACTTGTCCACATTTGATACAATTATCCGAGTTTTTAATAATGCACTGACATTTTTCACAAAAGGGTATCTTCTTTGCTAAAGTGTAGTCAGGTCCCAGCATCTTGTTCAACAAAAACATTGACGACGGGATTGATGCCCCAGGCGGTAAGTGAAAATTAATTAATGTTAGCAAATCGGACATTGCGGACTTACTGAGTTTGTGGCGGATGGCGAATCCCAGTATTAACATACAACTTTCTGTTGTTGTAAGTTTTGCCCCAGGAAATATTTTGTATTGTTTGTTGTGGTGCTAGGATAATTAAAATATTTTTAAGTTATAGAATTGAGCGAAATATTGATTATTTTGATAAATTATCTCATTGGTTACTTTATTTTGATCGTAATCGTCCTCATCGTCGTCGTCGTCTGAAGTTGTACTGAGGCCAGATTCGGAAACTTCCCCATCCTCGTTCATATTCTAACAGTGTAGTTGTAATGTATACTTAACGGCTAAAATAGTTGATATACTGTATCATAATTGGTATTGTTATATTACCAATTGATGTACGACGGGTGAAGATTGTCATCCAAGTCCTCATTACTTTTCCCCACCGATGTGTTGTGCATTGCAGGTTGGGTTGAGTATTATTATTTAACCCAACAGGATCAACCGCCGACTAATTTAAGAATAATAATTTATTTTACAAATTTTTCATAACTAGATTGGAATTTACCCAGCGACGTTTTATCCTGTGCCGGGTCCGTATTGGTATACTTATCACTTTCGCGCATCCTTCACGAGAGCCAAAATAGCTTTTACAATTTCTACGGGTTGACATTTAGTATTCAATTATTGCAGTAATTAACTTAATAAGTTTAAAATGTGACTACTTGTGGCGATTCGGGGGTTACTTTGGACATACTAAACTCTGCTCTACAAATTCTGGGAATCTTTGGAAGCAATCGGTGTGGATGGCAACTTAACCAACAGCTCGCTCATTCATTCATTGAATTTCATTCTCATTTACTAAATATCATTACACGATTCCAATCAAAATGACCTTTATTTTAATTGAGTGGTCCAACGAACGTCCCAAAAAGTATTCAAGTGTATCCTCCGAGAAGTTAGAAGATGGAACATTGCGTGCTAATCCTCACAATTTACTGGGACAGGTTGTGCAAGTTATTTGGAGTCGTGGGAAAAGCTATCCTGGTTTGGTTTTAAAAATTGGTAAGTCTAATAATTGGTTCTTTCTAATTTTCTAATTTTTTCTCATTTAAGTTATTAACAATTGATTGTGCATATGTTTATGTTGGCTAATATTTTCTAGCAAATGATGAGGCAGTCTTATCTGATGAGGCTGATTCATTGGCTATTGCTTGTTCTGCCGCTCAAGCTGTGGAAACTGGTGAGCATTCTGGCATAAAAAGGAAAAATACAGAAATTAAATCAAAGAAGGGTAAGGCAACAAATTTGCTGTTAAATTAAAATTATGCTGGATAGTTTTGTCATATATTTTTTCATAAATTCAGGCAACAAATCCACGACGGCAAAACGGAATCGCGACATAGTAGAGGTGGTAGCCAGTCTTGATCCTTCAGCTGATCTGCAAGATGCCCAGTCACAAGATGAAAATCACTCTTCTGGTCAGGAGCAGATCCCCGAAGGAATAGATGAATCAGTGGATTATTCTGGTATTTATTTTCTAATCAAACTTCCACAAATGCGAAGGCAATAATGTAATAATGATGAAAATTAATTACACTTATTATGCAGAAAAATATTTGAAAATGAAGCAGAAGTACAAGGCTTTGAGAATAAAATATAAGGACTTGAAATCCTCAGTCAAAGAAGCGTCCGAGGTACACATTGTGTCCATTATTTTCGTCCTTATCAGTGTAGAAAAACTTTTTTTTTCCGTTTGATAAGAACTTATTTTTATCCATTTTTATACATTTCTACGGTTATTTTATTTTAATAGGTCGAAATTTACCCTAACAGCGGTGTAACATTGCCCATGGCCGATTTGACTTCAATAAAAATGGTTTCGTCAAAACCTACTGTGCTAGCACGCAATTTATTTAGACGGCTGTTTACGACAGAAGAACTTTCGACGCATTCTCTTTTGGGGAAGAAATGCAACGCCAACAGCAATGCCGCACCTCCTCTTCCAATCATCGACATACCCAAACGGGACGCTGTGGTCAGTAAGATATTACATACATTATTGAGTATATTGGATTTGTAAATTGTTGGAAAGATTTATAAAGTCTATATTAAACTATTCTGCTTCACAGAATTTGTTCTGAAAGAGCAAGGACTTGATGGACTTCCAAATTCTGGTCATGCTGCCGAAGACAAAATTTTCAACAAAAATAAGAAGGTCGCAAGGAAGGAGATTATTAAATCATTATCAGATTTTTAGAGGGAGGAGCAGAAAAAATTCCGTAATTAATTTCAATTTGATGTAATGAAATATTTGAAAATTTATTTATTTGAGAAAAATAAAATCATTGGGTAAAAATACGCTATGCATAATTTATTCTGCATAAATAATTCTTCACGAAATACGGCCAATTTGTGCTACGAAAATATTGTACCCAAATGTTTATGCAGAAAATGTTTGTCATACTCTTTTATGCAGAAAATGTTCGTCATACTCTTTTATGCAGAAACAATTCTTCCTGAAAATCGGCCAATTTTAGGCACACAATTTGTACAGGATTCGCCATATAATTTATGAAGAAAATGTCGGAAAATTTTCATGCGGGTATGTCAAAAATATCTAAGTAGTTTCAGATAGTTAAGTACCTAATTAGTCAAAAAGTTATGATCATCTAAATACTAATACAAAATGATTATAAATTAATGATATTTGCATATCCCTATGAGTCACGGATTTAGTTGGGAATGTCAATTATGAAATAATATTTACTCAACTAACACAGTTTTATCCTGTTCCGCGAACTATATCAATAGGATGTTCGCCTTCATACGTTTACCTAACCCAATGAGTGGATTTAGTTTAAGTTCAATTCTTGGAAAATGAACTAACAATGGAGGTTTTCCATCGTATACTCACGGAATGGAACAAACTGATGCGAATCGATCGCAAATATAATTTGCATGAAATTAGCAAACAGAACCCTCTGCCAATGCACAGGTTTGGCAAAGTTATTTGCATCCGAAGCGGGAAAAATGTACAGAAAAAATTGGGAAACTGTAAACCCGGGTGAAAATGGTGTGTCGAATTTTACATAATTCGACACAACTTCCCGTACCAATGGTTTGTGCAGAAAAAGTATAAGCGATTCTGCATAAGACTTCAGGTATATTCTATACTGACAGGTATATTCTGCATAATTACATATGCATGATTCTACACATTTTATGCACAAATTGTTTCGGCATAAATTTTTCTGCATAAAATCTAACCAATTCTCTGCATAAAAACCAGCCAAATTTATGCATAAAATCCCTTTAATGTTTCACCTGGGAAGTTTCCCAGCCTTGGGGCGCTATTGCCTCTTTTAAATGCAAATATCTTTGCCAAACCTGCGCACTGGCTGAGATTGTTGTTTGCAAATTTCATACAAATTAAATTTGTGACCGATTATCGATATTTTGGTCGAAATATATAAGCGTACGTGGGGAAACCTCCATTGGAAGTTAGTAAGAGCCAGTTAAAATTTATAGTTGTAATAATTAAAGAGCAATGAGGTTAATCTTTGTGTGACCAATTAACTTGACCCATTGGATTGGCAGTATATAAAATGATTCCAGCCAGTGTGAGGAATCAGATAACTTTTGCATTTATTAACATCGATTAATACAGGAAGGAATTGAAATGGACTCAAAATTTGGCTTTTTGGCCCTTTTGTTGGGTGTGGCACAGGGTGCGCCCTCGTTTCCCGTGGCCCTGACAGGAACGAGTAAGTAGTTTTTAACAAAACATTCCATAACGAAATATTTTTTTTACGGAATTAATTTTTTATTTTAAAGTTTTGTATTTGTATTTATCTTATTTATTTTATTCTATATTTATTATTTATGTTTTTGATTTTGTCATTTTAAAGATTTTACGCTAGTCGGAACTTATGCCGGAGTCGGGAGGAGTGGAGAATATGTTGAATCGGACTATAATGTGACTTTTAATTCGGTTAGATTGCAATATTATAATTTAAATAAATCTATATTTTAGAATTTCTCGTCATGATTTCTGGTAAGGAAATTTTACTTATTTACAGAAAGTCCCAATTGACGCGGAGCGGGATTGTGACGCCGTTTTTGCAGGACTTGGTGGAGGAAAGTTGGTAGAATTTGGGGAAGTTGGGGAAATGGATGCCGTTAACAAATGGTTGGACCAGTATGGAGCAGGTAAGGTTGTGACGTGTGATTCAGTCATAGTTACCCGACCAGCACACATTCCTGGGCTGGATTGCTGGATTTTTTTTCTAAATTTGATCCATCCAAATCCATCTTACCCAGAATTTTACAGACCCGATCCATGAAAATTCGATTGATTCCAATTACTTTTAGATCCGATCTACCGAAATTCTGTCGAAAAGTTGAATCAGATCAGACCATGCATAATAGAGAAAATTTATATCCTGACAAATGGGTTATCTGGGAAATAATGTGGTATATGTAGGCGCCTTATTAACCGTATGGAATTACTGGGATCGCTCGTATTCTTGTGAGCGGGTTGGTTAAGTGGCTAAACAATTTAATTAGGTCTGGGTTATAGATTAATAATGTTAAAAATGTTAATGCTAAAATTCATATCTAAGACAGGTCCTCAATATATCCTTCATATTCTGCCACAATTTGAACGAAAATTATATGGTAATCGGGCACAACACTCCTTTATCATAATGCTAAAGCACTTGTTACGCAGGGCTACTGTACTGGACAGGCGGCGTCTACGATGTGAAAGATGGATACTATTGGAAAGACAGTAATGAGGACATGGCTGTGCCTGTTATCCAGCACATTATGATTACCACACCGCCAAGAAAGGTGGATCAACTTGTATTTTCGCATGATTCGGCGAGACGATTTCACATGGAGCTCAGACCAAATTCCAACCCGGAGGCTTACATTTGCGAAGTCAAGAGACCAGAGTCGGGTAGAAAATCATCAAATCCCAGCCCAACCCCAGGTCCCAGCCCACCAACCCCAGATCTTAGCCCAACCCCAGATAACAGCCCAAGCCCGCCAACTCCAGATAACAGCCCAAGCTCCCCAACCCCAGATAACAGCCCAACCGAAGATTATTGGCCCAGCTCAACCCCAGATCATAGCCAAACCCCAGATGACAGCCGAAGTCCGATCCCTCAAGCCATGAGCCTAACCGGTGGTAGACGCCGAATGCATGGGTGATTTTACATTGATTGCCAATGTAATAGTCTTACATAGGCAATCTTACATAGGCAGAAAACATGTCAACGCTTCATTACCAAAATTCCGAACCAATAACAAAATGAAGACATCATTAGAACATATTTCTAAAACGTGTTGTTTAATAAACAAATATTATGGTGCACAGCTAGAAAAAGTGTTTTTTATTGCTCTAAAAGAATATTCGCTTTTTAAGAGTATCCCTGATAAACTTATTACTACTTTTATACATATCCCTTCGTTGCAAGCTTACAAGGGTATTGACACAATGGTTTAGGTATTTACATGGAACTCTGGTATTTACCACCCAAGTATATATTTTGTCTTGGGTGAATTTTAGCTAGAAGCCGATGCTTCACCCTTTCGGCATAAAATTTTGCCTAATTAGTAGTTACTATTTTCCTTTTATACATGAGTGTTATTTTCAAACTATAAGTTATATTTTGAAACTTAGCACAAAAAGTCCTTAGGTACATACATTATAAAATTTATAAATTATGTACATAATTATGTAAGAACTTTACAAGCGTTTGTAAGGAAATTAGCTTATAATAAGTGCGAAATTGTTACTTGCAGGGGGATTACTTTTATAAACCTGCGTAAAATAATTTTAGTCAAGTGGAGGAACCTTTCAGGAATGTAGCCAGTAACTGCACCTGTCCGTCAGTACCCACAATTTGTAATTTATCTACTGTGATGAAGAGAAATATCAAATTTTACAGATCATGAGACTTACAACACCAAAATCGAAAAAAATAAGTTTTACGTTGAAAAATGAAGACCTCACATTCAACCTTTATCTTCACACAATGGAAACAATTTGGGCTATATGTGAGTAGTCATACTCCAAGCATTGTGAAACTTTAGAAAAAATCGATTCAGGTAGGAGATAATTACCCACTAAGTTGCAAAGTCTTCCGAAAAAGCAATAATGGCAGGCGTCATGAAAAAGGTTAAATACGAGATGGACAATGGACTTCAGTGTTCTTTGTTCGCGAATGTCCATGATTGGATACATTTGGGATATCATACCAAACTTTGAGATTTCTAGAATCGTTTTTTGACCATTTTTAGGTCAAAGTTCTCTATCGTCACTATATAGTACGGGATCTCTACAATGCAAAAGTTCATTTATTAGTAGATACATTAATTTATTATCGCAAACAATTTGGACTAACTCATCAAAAAAATTATTTTATGCGCAAAGCATAATTCTTACTTAAACCATAAACTAATGTGATACATAGATATTTATTTAAATTTATTTAATCAACTAATATAACTTAATCCAATGACGCCCTTCTAAATAATTTGAAAATGTACATAGATATTTAAATTAGCCCAGCAACAACAACCTAACCGTCCCTCTTATTCCGAAAACTATCATTCTAAAAGGCGTCAGTATATCTACAAAGTTACTCCCAAACCTCACCTTTATCGGGGAACATCCTTGGACCCGTTTGCGTAACATCTTCCCATCCATCACCCTACCAAAACTGCCACATTTTAATTGTTTCAACAAAATCTCGGACTTCTTATTCAAGATCCCACATAAACCACCAACAAACAGGATAAAAAAACGCTCTCTACTAGAACAAGGAGAAAGAAAACATTTTCTACACTCTGGAACAACTTCGTTACATTCGACAAACAGAAATAACAACAAAAAGCGTAGCCAATGCCGAAAACAAAGGAAATCCCGGGTAGAAACTTTTTCCGGAAGCAAGTGTTGAACTGAACCTCAACAATCTTAAGCTGCAAGTATTCCGCCAGCCGGTTTGTGCATGTATCACTTCGTCCATCACTCGACTCAACTTTATTGACCCTGCAAGAAAGTCTTTATTGATATCAATCATTTACTTTACGATTAATAATCCACAAGTCTAACCTCATTGTCCACCTCAGTGAAATGAACAAAAAGAAGGTCGAACTCATAAACATATTTGCCGTTGCTATGATTGTTAAATGAGTAAGTATGCTGTATTGCCAAAATTCTATCAGAAACGCACATAGATGCCCAATTAGGTTGAGCTCCTCACTAAATTTTGCTCCAAATACTTTGCTGCCTAATTTTACAGACGAAATATAATCAAAAATATAGGTATTATATATTTGCAAATACATTTTAGCATGTGATCGTTAATATTTATCTGAATATGCACGTTTTCGACTACCTGGAATTATCGATCGTAGGAAAGGAGGCATACCCGCTTTCACAATGACAAGCAGCATTACGAAAATTTTCAGGAATATTGACCCAAATGATCCCAACAATTGCAGCGCAAATTTCAAGTATCTTCTGTATTGTTGAAATTTGTCAAAGTTTTTGTCACTATTGTTGAACACCCTTCGCCCAAACATTAATATCATGTTTAACAATATTGCAAAGCAGTTGGATTTTGATACAACGAAGTCGTCACGGCAAATACCGCGCCAGGTATGCTAAATGAAAACAGTACTACAAGAGCTTTATCTTCCGTTCGTAACCATGGCGATCGCAGATGCAATTACCCATTGCAAAGGAGGAATAATGAGTAGTTAACAAGGCAATGTATTTTCACTTTTGAAATGATGATGCGGTCCGTAAGTTTCGCTTGCGCGGATACTACAAAGGCGGGATTTTTATCGTCATCCAGCGCAATTGCAATGGGAGAATGAATAAATAGCGAGAGGAGTTTCAATTGATTCTTTGTGACAGGAATAGTCGAGGATAAAATCATTTCTCAAGGAGTTGTATATGTATAAGAAGCATTTCACAAATGAGGTATGCAGCAGCTATCTTCTTCTTGTAGCTGAAATGCGCTATAAGCTTGAGAGTAGTTGAGAGAATTTTGCTTTAATTATATTCATTCGGTGTATCCATTATTCGTCCAATAAATGAACAGGAACAAACAAGTAAGCATATCCACTTCAAATATCGCCTTCACAAAGGCCACGCTTTGCAAATATTTTGGCGAAATTCGTTTCGACTCATACTTTATGAATTAGATAAATTAACATACATATTACAAACTATTTAGGAGACCTAAGGGCAAAGGTTATTGTAAATATTTACTTTGTTCAAGCGGTGATGTTTATGAATGTCAATATAAGATCTTGAGTTAAATATGTGGTTTGCTTCAGTAGTTATGTATGTACGTAAACGAACATTTGAACAACAAAACTTTATATACGAAAACTTTACCGGGATTATACATTCCTACACACATTTGTAAATATGTTATCTTATTTCACTTATCAAAACCATATGAAATGGTGACAACGGCTGAGAAAGAACATCTTGGAATTGCGCGCCAAATAATATATACTTACAATGCAAGTCTTTTACGTTTAAAACTCCGATCTCCATGGGACCAAATTTATTTTGTTTACCACAAAAAATAAGCATACCCGTAGTTTTTCATTTTTCCTAACGCGCTAATTTGAGCACGAGGCGCAAATTTTAAACTGTTTTCCAGTCAAAACCTTGGTTGTTGAAAATTCACTGAATTTTCGAATTTTAGCGAGAATTAAGAAAATTCGAAAACATAAACATAAAATTCGAAAGTCTGTTCAGAATGATCTACCTGACTTATAAAAATCCACATGCAACATTTTCTGAAAATTTGATAATTTGAAAGAGTTTATAATTTTAAGGATTTTCAAAAACTGGCAAAAAATGATGAAATTCAAATTTCAAGACAATTGGATTTTTAGTAAGCCAGGTAGCCCATTTTGAGGAGATATGTTTTCGAATTTTTGGATTCGCGCTAAAATTCGAAAATTTAGAGAATTGTTAAAAACCGAGGTTTTGGCTGAAAAATGTTTTAAAATTCGCGCCTCACGTTCAAATTGGCGCATTAGGAAGAATGCAAAAATATGGGTATGCTTATTTTTGTGGGGAACAAAATAAAATTTGTCCCATGCAGATCTGAGTTTTACACGTAAAAGACTTGCATTGTTAGATGCATATATACATATATAAACATGGTAAAAAAACTGTTAAACAAATTTATTAAGCAAAACCCAAGTGAAAAATAATGCCTAATCCTGAAACTAATCCAGATTGGCCAATCCCTACTACCTAATCCAAGCCATTATTAATCTAAGCCGAAACCAATCCCATCATTGTTTAATTCTAATCCCCAAGTTAACCCAAAAATTTTGGTGTCCAATCCCCAATCGGTACTCCGAGCATACATAGAATCAACTACAGAGGGTTAGGCGAGATTACAGAACGTGTAGCAATTTGCCCATAAAAATTAAACAATTGCGCTAATTCCAAATATTCGAAACTTTTCTGGAAGCTTGGTTCAAGCTGCGCCGTGACCCAAAAGCTCAATTTCGAAACTTTGAAAACGGGTCCAGAAATTGACCCCACAGAGCTCCCTGCTGATAAAACAGTTTGCCAAGCAATAATGACGTACAAAAATATACTAAACAAACTCCATGATGAAAAAACTGTCATTTCTAATGGCCCAATGCCTAATATAAAGGATTAAGTTGAAAAAAGGAACCATGCAAGACATTTGATGATGCCACATCCGTCGAACGCATGCTCCCCGGACTGTAAGAAACCCGACGCACGTGAGAAAAATTGATCTGGACAAGGCAAGAATTGTTTTATCAATCCAAAATCAACTGGCCACGAAGTGTCAGGTCCCTGGGCGTACACTGAACTGAATTAATCACCAAGATATGCACAACTTCAGCGAGGATCAGAAGATATGAGGTCGACGCGAAACTTTTTTTCTGACAACGCTCGGATTATCACCCAGTTTGCAGCCATTCTTTTTTTAATATTCGGAATTTAAATTATTTTGCATAAAGATAAACTAGTTACGTCCGGTTATGCGCCTCCAGTGCTTTAATTCTGATTTGAAACTTCAGATCGACACTTTTTTCAAATGGATATAAATTTTTTTTATGCATTTTGCAAACTTTTAGATGAACAGTGGTTCAAAGAAAATCTGCTGCCGGCGTTAAAAGCCCGGTTTTTTGGAAATGATAACTTCATTCCTCATGACAAAAGGATGAGGAATACGATGAAATCATTTAACATATCCAGCGATGGATATTTGGGCCAAAAATTAATAATTTTCGACACGTTCTGTAATCTCGCCTAACCCTCAGTAGTCTCACAGCTCTGGTGATGAATTATGACGAACAAGCTTTAAA